TTAGGGGAACACATTCCTGACGGTGTCATTATCACTGAGGAAGCTGAGGCCAGGGAGCTAGTCCTATGGCTGGGAGGCCCGAGATGGAAGATTTCACTCGTTTACCTCTCCTCCTGCCTGTCACCCTGTGCTGTGCTCTCCACATGGACGGAGAGCCTCCCCTTAGCACAGGAAGGGGGTGCCCTGGAGCCTCCCAGGGGCAGTGTCCTCTCCCCGGTGAGGACTTTCTGGAGGCAATAGAACCCCTTGGAAAATTCAGCCTGGTACCTTGCTTACAGAGTTCCCCACAGCCATGCCAGGTGAATAAGGCATTTTGGGAACCCTGAGAAGAGAGGAATTCACTCAAATCTATAGGTACCCCAGGTGAAATCTGATGGCACGTCCTTGGTTGGCTGCCTGGCCTCAGGAATATTCTAAACAGCCCAATCTGAGATTCCTCATGAAAAATTCTAGCACCCTCTGGATATCAGATTCTAGTCCTGTTAATTGTCCGTGAGATTTTATCTTCTGCCCGTACACTGGCCCAGAGCCTGAATTCTTCTCGTTTCCCCCAACATTTGACTACAACTCTGCAAACCAGTGTTTCCAATTTTCTCTCCCGCTCCTCCCACTTGGAATCCCGGAGAACTAGCACTGCCCTTTTCCTGGAGCCGCAGAAGCTGAGGCTGGACAACTTGATACAAACTTCAGAGAGTCAACACAGCTCACGTACGGACAATCCCCGTGTCTAGAGACAGTCATGCTGCAAACTCAGAGCAGCTGTCGGCATTGCCATTGCCCGCCCTCTCTCCATCTGTACATGCTGGAGCCAGACGGCTAGGAACCGTCTTCACTGGCCGGCTCCAGACTCAGACTGGGTGCACAGTCTTCCCAGCATTAACCTGTGTTTTTCTTTTGTTTCCACAGAAACGCCTTCGTAAACACCCAATAGCTTTAACCATAGTCCTATTTTTTGGAGCCCAACTGCATACCTGCGCCCTAAACTGACCTATCGTCAGGACCAAGAGACCGGTCCCTTGAGATGGAGCAATCCACCTACTTAACTTCGGAACTGTGAGACGTCCTGGGAAAGTTTCAAAGGCAGGACTGAAGGGGAACAAAAATTCCACCCCCAAATGTGTGTCCTTGGCATATGTATTATTTAAGCTGGTTATTTTTAAGGCAGAAAATTCAGGAAATTTTTTGAACCTCCTCTGCCCTCCAACTGCTTAAAGCAGTGGTCGGCAAACCGCGGCTTGTGAGCCACATGCGGCTCTTTGGCCCCTTGAGTGTGGCTCTTCCACAAAATACCGACTTCTGCGCATGGGCCACGGAGTTTCAATCGCACTGTACGTGCGCGTCTGCATGTGGTATTCTGTGGGAGAGCCACACTCAAGGGGCCAAAGAGCCGCATGTGGCTTGCGAGCCGCAGTTTGCCAACCACTGGCTTAAAGGACTTGGGATAGGGAGGAAGAGAGCTGTTACCAAAGACAGCCTCTATTTATACTAGAAGGACTTCTCTGCCTGGCATGGCAAACATGGTTAACCCAACATTTGTTCTTCCCACCTCCCTGTGAATTGTCCCAGGCCCCTGCCCCTTCTCCTGACCTCAGGGCAGCATATGAGCCTCAACTGTCTGACAGCCTGTGGGCCTCATATTCTTATGGAGCCCTTGTACATGCACAATTATATTTGTTTTTTCTCCTGTTAATCTGTCTCAAGTCAATTTAATTATAAGGTAGAGGAAAAATGTTCCCTCTCTAACATGTCACTTCCATCCATCCACAAATCTTTTTTCAACTTACAAAACTGAGACCCTGTAGCTATTAACAACAAATCATGTCCCACTCTCCCCAGTGCCTGGAAACCACCAGTCTAGTTCCTTTTCTAGAAGTTTGGCTACGCTAGGGACCGCACAGGAGTGGAGCCATCCAGTATTTGTCTGTTGTGTCTGGCTTGTTTCACTTAGCATAGTGCCCTCTAGGTTCATCCATGACGTAGCATGAGTCAGCACTTCTTTCCTTTTTGGAGAATCCAAGTGGGTGAAGAGGACAAAGCAAGTCAAGTCCACAGCTTCAAAGTTCGTGAGAAGGGTGACCTGCTGGGCATCGACCATCTGCAGACAAACCAGTTTTAAAATGTCACATTTGCCTGGTGGGTATGGCTCAGTGGTTGAATATTGACCAAGGAACCTAGAAGTCACTGGTTCCATTCCAGGTCAGGGCACATGCCCAGGTTGAGGGCTCAGTCCCCAGTGGGGGCGTGTGCAGGATGCAGCCAATTGATTATGTTTCTCTGTCATTGATCTTTCTGTCTATCTCTCTCCCTTCCTCTCTCTCTAAAAATCAATAAAACAAATTTTTTAAAGTCACATTTGATATCATATCTATTGAACATGTGGGCATCTTTGATGTCAAATCCAGATTCCTGGGTGTTGAGATGGAGAAGGTACAGCTCCATATTCAGGATTTACTTGAGATGCCATCTCAAGGAGTAGCTTTAAGGGAAATGTTTGATGATGTTAAAGTGAATGTAAACCTTTGCATGTACCTGCTGAACAAGAAAATCCGTGACCCAGCTGGTGTTGCTCAGTGGTTGGGCATCGACCTATAAACCAGGAGATCAGGGTTTGATTCCTGTCAGGGCACATGCTCAGGTTGTGAGCTAGATCCCTAGTTGGGGGAGGGGCATGCAGGAGGTACCCAATCAATGATTCTCCATCATTGATATTGCTATCTCTCTCTCTCTCTTCTCTCCCTTTCTCTCTGAAATCAATAAAAATATATATTTTTAAAAAACCGAAATTTCATGGAAAGTGAAATGCCTGTGGGAATTCCATAGATTTTTTATCACCTGGATAAAGAAATGAATCTCTTCAGTATTTTTGTTTTTAAACATGATTGCAATCACTGCTTACAGAAATGTCATATTTTTAGAAAAGAAGACCGAAAGTGTTCGGAAGAATGTACCTTTTCAGTCATTGGATACTACCGCACAGTGATACGCAAAATGGATGACTCTAAACACTTCCACATATACTGTGGACTAGGTACTCTGATTTGAAACTTAGAGCATTCTGTGATTTGTTTTAAAGTAGGGAAAAAATGAATTAACTGACCAGCGGCAAACGTGTAAGCCTATTTTCTTATAAAAAACATGTGTGTCCCAGTTGAACGAATTCTTCATAGATTTTTATTTTCATCTGTGGAGAAATGGAAACCTAATTATTTGTAATGAGTTATTTACACGGGTGAAACAGCTGTGTGACCACCATCCAGATCAAGTTCCAGAACATCCCCTGCTCCCAGAAGACTCCCTCATGCCCTCCCAGGTTCATTGTCCAATCTGAGGTCACCGAGGGTTCCCGTGTCACAGCTCCTTTTGGTTGCGGGGGCCCTTCCATGGTACCAGCACCATCACCTGCTCCTTCTTTCTCCTGCTGGTGCGCACTTGTGTGGTTTCCTGTTTGGAACTATGGGAGTGAGGCTGTCGTGAATGTCTGTGTTCATCTCTCTTGAGCTATTTTCCAAAGTTGTGTTATTTCACACTCCAATCTGCAAGGAATGAGAGTTCCACTGGGTCCATGTCCCCATCAGTGATGACACTGTCCCTGGTGTCTCTGCTGCTGGAGAGGAACGCAAAGAATTGTGCTTCTGTTCCCTCCTTTCTGCCCCCCTTAAACCGATTACATTCTAGTTGATTCAGTGATATACTTACTAGGCTTGAGGGTGACATGCGGGGACACGTGACCTCAGTTTGCAGGAGCATCTGAGAGAAGTCAGTCTTTGCGAATGCTGGTGCATCCAGACAAGGCTCAAGAGGGAACAGAGGTACAGACCTATGTGTGACCTTGGGCACCTTCTACCCACATGGCGCCTATCTGACCCTTAACTGTTCATTCAGGTTTACCTGGTAGCTCATTGGTTTTCTTTCTAGCACATTGCAGGGACCTGCTTGACTTCAGGTAAGTTCATTATCACCGCGGCCCTCCTCTCCTCCCCACTCCCCAACCCAGCCTATCCTGTTCATCTCGTTTAATCATTTCCCTTAACTAGGTGCTGACGCCAGTTCATGGCAATTTATTTAATGTTGCCCTGCCCTCCATGTCATTTGGAGTACTCCATTATGTCCAAGACTTCTCCTCTCCCTATTCTTAAAAAAAATATATATATAATCGATTTCAGAGAAGAAGGGAGAGGGAGAGAGAGGAGATAGAAACATCAGTGATGAGAAAGAATCATTGATCGGCTGCCTCCTGCACGTCCCCTATCGGGGACAGAGCCCACAACCCAGGCATGTGCCCTTGACTGGAATCAAACTCAGGACCCTTCAGTCTGCAAAACGATGCTCTATCCACTGAGCCAAACCAACTAGGGCACCTCTCCCTATTCTAAAGCCCAAAAAAGAAAAGGGCGAGAGGAGGGGAGCGGGAGGAGAGAAGAAAGAGATACATTCACAGAGAGGGGCCTCAGAAGCTCCCAGAGTACCACTTATTTCTACATGATACCTTTATATGAGAAGAGAAATGCCTTTTTGAGACTCTAACTATCCTCATAGAGGTCAGGATGCCACTAGTGAGCCATGTGACTTTGGACATGCCCCCTAACTTTTCTGAGCCTCAGTTTCTCTGTGTGTAAAATGGGTATAACCAGGCCTTCCAGCACCACCACCACCCCTCCCTGTGTTCCTGTCAAGCAGCCCATTGTTTTCTGGACATTGTCACTGAGCACGCTGTACACGAACCGGACACGACACGATCCCATTTCGGGTGGAGCACAGGAGGAGAGGTGAAAGAAAGGTCACGGAGTGGAGTATCTACTTTTCTGTCCCTTTTAAGGGACTGCACCACCCTTAACCCTCCCACCCCCACCCCCACCCCCACCCCCAGCACTCTACCTTTCTTTCTCTAAACCCACTTCCTCTTGCTCCTGGCTCCCCTTTAACCCCCCACCGCCCAATTTTTTTGCTTTCTATTTCTTTACCAAATCCTCCCCAGTGCAGAGAACTGCCTGGCAGGTGTGAGGAGCAGCCGGGACCACAGAGGTGGTGGAGAGATGGCCCTCAGCAGTATCCAGCCTTCCTTCGTGACCCCAGTGAGTTCCCAGGCAGTGGGCACAGGCGATGCTGCAGGGCCGAGCTGGCTGCCTTGCCAGGGAAGCCGCTCTGGGTCTCTGAGGAAACCAGGCTGGGGTGGCAGAGGGTGCATGGGGGGCAGACATGCCCGATGGGGCAATCCTGACACAACCTCTGCCCCAGGCCGGTCTCACCTGCCTCTCAGGACCGAGGGATGACAATCACCTGCATTGGGGCATTGCACAGATGGCGCTGAGCTCCCTCTGGGCGCCTGTCCTGTCCTGGGTGCTGAGGGGAGAAGGGCACAGGTCAGCCCCGGGAGAGTGGGGCTTTGTTGGAATGAAAGGGGAGGCCAGCAGGACTTCCCAGGGAGCCCAGCAGCCCGGCTTGGGCACTGACTTAGGAGATGGCTTCCCTGGATCAGCTGTTTCCTAGCTCGGTGACCGCAGGCGAGCTGCTTTTTCCTCTCTGGGCCTCAGTTTCCACATCTGTAAAAAAGGGACAATCCTAGCCTCAGAACCCTTAGCCTGATTCACTCTGGGACACAGGACATTCTGAGGTTTCTGTGGGTGGACAGATAAGAAGCTCGGTGTAAAACTCTTGTTTGTCTGTTATGTGCACCTGTAAATACTGTACATAAAAGTGTCTGCTAATGGCTCTTTTCTTTCTCTTTGTGGCTCAGTTTAATTTGTTTAAAGATGGGGGCCTATCCCCCTTAGCTGGGGGCCCAGCTGCTTGTGGAGGACTGAACCCTTAGCAGGGATTGCAGGAGCTTCCCAGCAGCTGCCAAGAGTTCTTTATCTCAGGGACCCTCCCTGCTTCCCTCTCAAGGCATCTGCTGCCCAAGACGCTTGGCTAGAGTAAGAAAATCGGTCCGTCTTTTCTGTTTGAGAACTCCCTGCAAGTTCCTGTCTGTCTATAATGTAACTTTGATTATAGATATTCTTTGCTTAGTTTCTCATCTTTTGGGGAGTCAGCTGGCTGTTCGCTGTTGGATCCTCTGTCTCTGCTGTTGGGGCTTCGTGCCACTCAGGCCTTAAAAAGGTCATTCGCTGCGCCAGTTGGTATGAAATAAGATTCTAAGGCTAAAGTCCCCGTCCCTCCTTTTGAGTACTCTTTGTTTTACTTTAGTGATTATTTTTGTTTCTGTTTTGAAATGGGATAAGATCTCTTTTGATATAGAGGCTTTCACGTTGTTACATCATAAGGATTCTACTCAGAAAGAAAAATATAGGGAATAAATCTTTTAAATGCCCCAAGTCTTTCTCCTAGACTCTTTTTTTTTTTTTTTTTTTAGTTTTATTCATTTCAAACGGGCCGGATCCGGCCCGTGGACCGTAGTTTGCCCACAGCTGCTCTAGAGGGTTGGAGCTACAGAAGTACCCTCAAGCAGGCTGCCAAAGCTGCAGCAGGGGCCACTCCCATCATATGTAGATATATATCCTATATAATAAAAGGCTAATATGCAAATTGTCCTTTGACCAGGAGTTCAACCAAGGGGCAGGGCCGGCCTGCCAATCGCCGAGGCCCCTTCCCCAGCCAGCCCCGCCCCACCCCCGATCGGCCCCTCCCATCCCAATCGGGAGCAGGGCTGGCCAGCCCTCACCCATGCACGAATTCGTGCACCCGGCCTCTAGTCCTATATAATAAAAGCCTAATATGCTAAGTGTCTGGTTGACCAGTCAGCTGTTTAAACAATCAAAGCATAATATGCTAATAATATGGTAAGGCTGTTCAACTGCTCGCTATGATGTGCACTGACCACTAGGGGGCAGAAGCTCCTACTGGTAGGTTAGCTTGCTGCTGGGGTCTGGCCAATTGGGACTGATTGAGATGGGCCGGGCATGCCCTGGAGCCCTCCCACAGTTCCTCCCTGGCTGGCCAACCTCCTGTGTTCCTCCCGGGCCCTGATCATGCACTGGTGGGGTCCCTTAGCCTAGCCTGCACCTTCTCACAATCCGGGACCCCTCGGGGAATGTCTAAGAGCCAGTTTCAGCCCAATCCTGCAGGTCAGGCCAAGGAACCCCACTGGTGCACGAATTCGTGCATCGGGTCTCTAGTCTAGTCTATATATATAAAAGCCTAAGCGACTGTTACAGTGGAATGACCAGAACGACTGGTTGCTATGGTGTGCACTGACCACCAGGGGGCAGACACTCAACACAGGAGCTTCCCCCTGGTGGTCAGTGTGCTCCCACAAGGGGAGCACCGCTCAGCCAGAAGACAGGCTCACGGCTGGCAAGTGCAGCTGCCATGGCGGGAGCCTCTCTCAACTCTGTGGCAGCACTATTGAGCGGCGGCAGCAGGTGCAGCAGGCCAGGATGAGTGTAAGCGGCATGGTCCCTAGCCCCGATTCAGGCTCTTCCCTGGCTGCCTGCTGCTTGGTGCACTGCTACATCCCTCGGAAGATGTCCGACTGCCAGTTTAGGCAGTCAGAGATCCCTCCAGGGGCCCCGGACTGCAAGAGGGATGTCCGACTGCCAGCTTAGGCCCGATCCTGGTGCCGTTCTCTGTAGAAGGCAGTCGGTCTGAACAACTCAGTGACTCAGGGAAGCGCAGGGAACTCAGGGTGAGCCTGCCTCCGTGCTTGACTCACCCACTCAATGGTGTTTGCAGGCCAGACTGTGGTGGCTCAGCCTGTGCACGTGCAGTAGTTGCTGAAGCTCAAGCAGCAGGCTGTGCAGCAGCAGAAGGCCATCCAGCCACAAACTGGCAGTCAGACAGTCCCCAAGGGATCCCAAACTGCGAGAGGGTGCAGGCTGGGCTGAGAGACCCCTCACCTCCAGTGCATGATTTCGTGCATCGGGCCTCTAATAACTATATATATGGTTTTTTTTTACACTAAAGCCACTGGAGGCCGGGAGTTGCTGCAGTCCTGGAACCAGCCACAGGGCCTGATATCTGCCTTGTCCCCCTGCTACTTCTCCAGGCTCCTAAAAATTGTCAAGGCGTTATCCCTGTTACAAAATTTGCCAGAAAAATGGCTTGGATAATAATGGACTTTAACATCTTATAAAATTATTAAGACATAATAAATAAACACAACTAAAATGAAGGGTTTTTCTGAAACTTCCTATATCTAAACATAATTTCCCAAGGTCTTTAATAACTTGGAACTTTAGAGTTTTACTGGGTTAAATAATAAAAATTATTAAATATTTAGATATTTTAGGATAATGAATTACTGAAATATACCATCTCCCAAAAAAATGTATATGCACTATAATAGCTGACAGAACAATTTTGGAAATAAAATGTATTTTACTAAACACTGCCTTTAAAATTATTCAAAGTGTGTGTATACATTTTTGTATATTAATTAATTATTAATTAATCTGAATTTGCCTACTTTTGGCTTCTTGCAGGAAAGCTAAAAAAAATGGATTTAAATCTGTTAACAAATATATCTTATATTTTATTTTTAAAATATCTCTTTAAAATTTGAGTATGTTTACCAATAAAAAACCTGTTTCTAGAAACTATAAAATATATTTGCCAATCTGAGACATGATAATAACTTACTTGTCACTAAAACGGTCAAGGTTTCTAAAAGGTAAGTTCAATTAAAGTTTAAAAATTATGTAATTTTTAAAAATTAAAAATACATGATTCTAAAATTAACTATTTCTATATAAATTTATAAAAAAACTAAAAGAATTGCAGAGGGTCTATATAAACTGAAAAATTTATAGAAAAAAATACACTAAATAATAAAATTTAATTAAATAAATAAATCTAGAGTAAACTGATACAGAATTTATTTGGCTCTTGTCAAGTCTGTTCAATGGAGAAAAGTTTTTCCTATGTGTGCCTAGGAAATAAAGGTCTCATACATTGTTCCAACAGTTATATGTTATGTTATATTGGCCAGGTACCTCATTACTGAAAAACCCATCTTCTTAATCATGAAAACTGAAGTTTTATTAGCCTGTGTTTGTGGTTACTACCTTTTGTTGTCACTTGAGAATATATTAATAATTTAATATTTTTCATAATAATATATAATCTTTTGGTCAAATATATATACACATACTATATTTTTATTTTTTAAAACAGATCAAGGCCAGGTCACACGTTGACTGAGTTGCTGTACTTGAACACTGACCTGCCTCCGGGAGTTTGCCTTAGGAATGCTGACCATTCTCTGGTCCCAGGAATAGGCTGAGCTATTTGTATCATCATAAAAAACTAGCCACATTATCATCAGAATTCAACTCCCGAAGGGCAGACTGCAGAACTGCAGACCCTCCGCTCTCCTTTTCCCTGTGATACTTCCATCGGCACTTAAAACAGGGCCTTGGAGTCCAGACAAAAAAGACAATGGGTGTAGTCCAATTGAATTCACCTCCCTCTTCCTCCAACGTGTGCCAGGAAGAGCCCCCGGCCTGGCTGTTCTGAGGACCAGCTGAACACCACGAGGGTCTGCCCTGAGGGCCTCAGCCCCATTCCTTGCCAAGCCCTGCGGGCCTTATCTGGCCCAGCCTCCTCAGAGGCCAGGGTGGAAGCTGGGACCACACCCAGGACAGGACTCGCTGTTTGGAGGGAGAAGCCCTCAGGGAGCCAGGAGCCAGGAGGTCTGTGCTTCATCCTGAGAAGCAGCCTGTGTGGGGCTTCACAGCGTGGGTGCTGGACCCACACCCACCCTATTACTGACCAGCTGGGTGGCTTTGGGCAAGTTACCAGACCTTCTGTGCTCAGTCTCCCCATCTGTAGGGGTGGCCCTGATAATGGCCAGGGCTGTTGCCAGGACAACTAGGAACAGCCAGGGAAATGGGCCCAGAAGCACCTCAGAACCCTTGGGGCAGCAGCCTCTTTGCCTGAAAGGCTCCCACTGGCCCTGCAGTGAGCCCCCTGTGCCAGCTGTGGCTGGGTGCCCGCTGGGGACACTGTGCCTCCAGAAGGAGGCTGTGCATCCTGTGGCCTGGGGGCCAGGCTCTGCTGTCTGAGCCTCCAGAGAGGAAGAGGAGGAAAGAGTCCTCAGCCTCCAGGCCTGGCCAGGAGCTGAGAGCAAGCTCTGACCCAGCAGAGGGGTTAATCCATCTAAATTAATTCATTCGTCCAGGTTAGAGGTGAGAGGACACTGTTCCTTTAGATGAGAGACATGGTGTCTACTTTGTCATGGTCTCTGCCACTCCCTATTGCCCCTACCTGACCATCTCCCTCCTACACATCACCTGCCTGGCTCCTATAAGCATTTCAGTTCTGTAGGGAGCTGGCTTAAAGGAGAAGTTAGAGAAGACGTTAACTACTAGAGAAATGTGAAGATTGACTAGGAGCTGGTAGTTATCTGCTAAGTAATGCAGGTTAAGATCACATCAGATAAAAGGCATCCTGAGGTTAGCTTTAAAAGGTCAAGAAACCAATGTGAAATTTTGCTCAGAGAGACCAAGAGGGAAGGGTGTGGTAGAGACACCTACTATCTGCCAGTCTCTTCCCCAGCCCTTTTCTCACTAACTCATTGATCTTACGCAGAAGGTCAGATGTACCCCTATGTTACAGATGAGGAAACTGAGGCAAAAGAGGTGACATAAGCTCCCTGAGGTCACCCAGGAAATGAGCAGCAGAATTAGGCTCCAAACCTGGATGATGCCTGGCTCTAAAACGATGCAAGCCTCACCATAAGCATTGTCCTTTCAGGTGGCCGGGGAAGGGATTTAACAAAACGGGCTCTATGGGGCCGAGGAGGAGTGCAGACACCTCACTAGGGCCTCGGAGGTTGCCAGGGCCTGGGGAGGGACTGGGGAGCAGGAGCAGGAGAGGATACAGAGCATCCAGGTGCTACCTGAGGTGGCTGGGAGGGCAAAGGTCATGGTCCCCACCGTTCTATGGTGGGGTGGGCAGGAGGATGCCTTCTTCTTGGCCTTCTCAGGGAGCAGAAGTCTGCAACCAGGGCCCTGGGGCCTTTGCCAGGAGCCCCTCTCACTACCCTGGTTCCTTCCCCTCTCGGGGTCATGTTTGTGCTACTTCCTCCTCTTGAAAGCTGCTACTTCCTCCTAAGAGAGGTCAGCTCAGGGTTACATCGTCTCAGAGCCCTGCGGTCTCCTTATCAGTCTCAGAATGAATGTGTGACTCCCCAGATTCAGGTCCGTCTGCTTCCTCACCGGTGGGAAGATCCATGAGACTAGGACTCCATATTTGCAATTCAAGCTGAATCTGGCCCCTGGCATGGTGCCTGACACACCAGGCGGCCACTAGCAAGTGCCAGAGGGAACGGACAGGAGCAGGGCCCTAACTGACTGCCTTCTTCTCTCTACAGTCACTTGCCATTGAAGGGGGTCTCCAGTATGGATATGTGATCACTATCCAAGGAACTGTTCTTAACTCCAATGGAACCAGGTACCTGAAACTGTTATTTCCGCCAGCCTTGCCCCTTAGGAAACCATGGCGCCTGTCAGCTCAGGCTGGCTCACCCAACACTGTCCAAGCTGCCTGTGCCTGGCTCAGGGGACGCTGAAGAGTAGGGCCCGGTCCCTGCCAACACTGCATAGTACCCCTGCTCTCTGCCAATAGCATCTGCACGCCATTAACATAGATTACCCATAGACACAGGGAGAGCATGAGCTCACAGTCTTGGGACAGCCCAGGGGCAGATCTTTATGGTCTAGGATTGAACTTTGCACGCAAAGACCCAGAGATGCAAAAATAACGCCTCCTTTACTTCCCAGAACGGCCTTCCTTTACTCCGTGGCCCCTATTTGGCTGATGTGGAAATATTTAAACTTGGCCTCAGATGTAATTTGATCTCTTTCTGTTTCAAGTTCATTCCTAGAAAATACTAAGGCAATTCAAAATACAAACATCTCCTGGGCACTGTCTCCCACCCAAGAGGGGACTTTGGGGCACAGGGAAAACTTTCACATCTTCTCAGAGGCCGAGCGCCCTCCAAGGCTCGCACAGCCCTGGCTGCCCTTGCTGAGGTCCAGGTGGTGTGGAGGTGAGGGGCTCTTGCCTGATTTGGGTGGGGCCCTCCCACCTGGTGGCTGCCTGCTGGATGACCACAAAGGGAAAGACACATCCAGAGATATTTCAGAAACGATAGTCTCCACGTAAAGAGGAATCTGGACTCCGTTTTCTGGTTCCAGAGTCAGTGGGAGCCTCCTTTCCTTTTCGTGTCCCCAGAGGGAGGGCTGGCTGGGCTCTGGGCCAGGGGACTTCCCTGCTGGCTGAGGGCCCACAGAGGGAGCTGGTATTGAGGAGGCACCCAGAGCTCCGTCTCCTCCACAGGGACACCAAATGGGCTCTGCAGGAATTGAACAGAATATCTATTAGGGCCACCTCTGGGCTTGGTACAGTGCCTGGCCCTGTGGGGGAAACAGAAAACATGAAAGCAGGGGCCTTCCCTGAGTGCTGTGCATTAGCTGGGGACAGCAGAGTGACCCCAAGAAGCAGGCTGTGAACCATGCTCATGCTGAAGTTGGGGAAGGCTGGAGGAGACAGTGACTCATCGGTGAGAACCTCGGATTGGGGCTGGTTTTAGGCCATGTGTCTGGGAAAAGGCAGAACAAACATTTATTGTGGCCCTTTTGTGAGCCTGGCTCCTTGGAAGTTTCTTTTTTTTTTCTTTTCTTTTTAAATTTTTTTTGGTTCATCCTTGCTCAAGGATTTTTTTTTTTCACATTGATTTTTAGAGAGAGTGGAAGGAAGGGGGAGAGACAGAGAAAGAGAAACATGTATGTGAGAGAGGCACATCAATTGGTTGCCTCCCTCACATTCCCCAACAGGTCCAGGGGTCAAGCCTATAATGGAGGCATGTGCCCTTGACAGGAATCAAACCCCGGACCCTTTCATTATCGGTTGGATGCTCTATCCACTGAGCCAAAGAGGCTAAGCCTCTTTTTTAAAAAAGTATATTTTTATTGATTTTAGAGCTGAAGGGAGAGGGAGATGGAGATAAAAACATCAACGATGTGAGAGAATCATTGATTGGATGGCCTCCTACTGGGAACTGAGCCTGCAACCTGACTTGTATCCTGACCAGGAATCCTGGTTCATAGACTGATGCTCAACCACTGAGCACACTGCCTGGGCTGGACGGTTCTTTTGTTTTAATTCCTCACCTTAGAACCCAAAGGAAGTTTTGAAGGTGAAAGCTTCCTTCTGAGGAGAGAGACAGGAATGAATATCCACTTACATGGGGCTTTCTGAACACAGCCTCATTAGTCATCCCCAAAGGAAGGGAGTCACCCCCTTTCCTGGGTTCAGTGAGGCCACAGTAGCATGGCTCTGAGTCATTCCCAAATGACAAACGGTACCAGCGGGGGCCAGGGTCCAGGCCTATGAACGTTAGGGCACCACTCCACACCTCATGTGTGGGACACACACCAACCTCCGATGAGGGACAGACACACATCCCGGAAGTTCTGCCTGGAGAACCAATATTCATTCCATGCCTCCCCTGCTAGACACCGTCTTTGTGAATCATAGTAACCTCCATCTTATGTAAAAACTGCTGTTTGAAATTTTAACCCTGCTATTCTGGCTTCTGTAAACGCTTGCTTGCTTAAATAATAGGCAAAATAAGACTAATCCCCATTCCAGAGAGGCCATAAACTATGCCCTAGACAGAGTTGTCAGCGCTGGCTTCAGGCCAGGCCTTGAGATACAGTCTCATGGCCCCTTCCCAGCACACAGGCCTTCTTTCTCAGAAGGCCCGGAAGTCTCATTCTGTCATAGTGTAAATCAGAAGACACCTTAATCAATAAGCCAAATTTATCTGGAGTCCTGTTCATGTTCACTAGCTCTAGTGGGCCCCGAGGAAGTCTTTCTTCTCAAATTTTGGGGCCCAATATGATGGAAGTCTTTCCTATTTATATGTTTTCAGTTCTTTGTTTTCCAAATTTGAAATGAGACTTCCGGACCTTCTGAGAAAAAGTCCTGTGTGCTGGGACAGGCCGTGAGACCATATCGGAAGGCCTGGCCTGGCGCCAGCACTGACAGCTCTGTCTGGGGCAGAGTTTACGGCCTCTCTAGAGTGGGGAGTAGTCTTATTTTCCCTATTATTTAAGCAAGAAAATGTTTACAGAAGCCAGAATAGCAGAGTTAAAATTTTAAACAGCAGTTCTTACCAAGATGTAGGTTACTATGCTCCAATTCCAAATTTGGAAGACAAAGGACTGAAAAAAGTATAAATAGGGAGAGCTTCCTCCATGTTTTTGCTTAGACTTGCGAAACAATATTCCAGCAGTGGTTCTCAACCTGTGGGTCGCGACCCCTGAAAATACATCCTGCATATTAGATATTTGCATTATGATTCGTAACAGTAGCAAAATTACAGTTATGAAGTAGCAACGAAAATAATGTTATGGTTGGGAGTCACCACAACATGAGGAACTGTATTAAAGGGTCGCAGCATTAGGAAGGTTGAGAACCACTTAGAGCAGCGATTCTCAACCTGTGGGTCGCAACCCCTATGGCGGTCGAACGAACCTTTCACAGGGGTCGCTTAAGACTATCCTGCATATCAGATATTTACATTATGATTCATAACAGTAGCAACATTACAGTTATAAAGTAGCAACGAAAATAATTTTATGGTTGGGGGTCACACCATGAGGAACTTTATTAAAGGGCCAGAAGGTTGAGAACCACTGCCCCACAGGTGTAATAAAGGACTACAAAATTTGGCTTATTAAGGCGTCTCACGTCAGCTCGCTGATTTACAATACAGTGGGGCCTTGACTTACGAGTTTAATTCGTTCTGAGACTGAGCTCGTTAAGGAGCTCGTTAACTCAAATTACTCTATCAACTCAATGCAAAAAATCGGCGAGAGACAGCTGGTATCTCAAAAAACTCGTTAGTTGGGACACTCGTAAGTCAAGGCCCCACTGTATAACATTTGTAGGTAAACCCCATCAATGTCACGTTCTCTCCATTTGTTCTCTTCCTTCCTAACTGAGCAGCCGTGGGCTGGCCTCTAACCAGTGCCCACCGGGCATGAGAGGCTCTTGCTTCTGGGCATGTTCCTGGATTTGCATCTTCATGCAAATGTGCAGTTTCCGGGACCCAGGCTTCCTGAGGCTCGAGTCCACATTGTTCTTTACCCAGTTCCTGCTTATTTTTGGAAAGTCACGCTGGAAAGGGCAAAATCCAATAATTACACAAAACACACTAAGGGCCAACTAGGTAAACACAGAGGAAGGCAGCACAGTGGGATGGATGCCACCTGCCACAGGTTGTATGCAAGTTGCCAGGCACACATGGAAGTCAGAGGCCCCAGGCCCTCCTGCTCCTATCATTGGGAATTAACCAGAACGCTGTCTGATTTCCGTCACCTAGGTTTGCTGTGGACTTTAAAATTGGCTCCAGTGACTCTGAGATTGCCTTCCACTTCAACCCTCGGTTTGAGAACGGCGGGTATGTGGTCTGTAACACCAAGCAGAAAGGGTGGTGGGGAACGGAGGAGAGGACGATGATGAATCCCTTCCACATGGGGAAGCCCTTTGAGATCCGCATCCTGGTGGAGAGCGCCATGTTCCAGGTGAGCAGGATTTTCCTCCCTCCTTCCCTCTCTCCCTCCCACTGCCTGTCCCCCTGCTCTATTGTAACCAGACAACCAAAGTGTCCAAGCTGCCTGTCACTACTTCAGCCAATTCAGCAGAGACAGGGTTGAATCATAATGAGTGTTTATTCCGATACCACCAGCAGTATGGGGAGAGCCGCAGGTCATGCACAAAGATCTGCTCTGCATCCCACCAGAAGCCCGCGGCTTATATTGGGTAAAAGGACAAAGGATTGATGGGGAAATAGCCGAAGGGGATGCCAAATGGGCAGTTAACAGGTAAGCAGGCTGGAGATGTGCAAAGGCCTGCAGGTGTGGTAAAGGGCTGGGGATCTTCAAAGGGCTAGTGATACGCAAGGACTGGGGCCTTCAAAGAGCTGGTAGCTCTGGTTTCTGCAACAAAGTTGTTCATCTTTCCATGATAATAGGCAGCTCCACATAAGGAGGATGGGCTGCATTTCCAGGTGAGTCCCCAGGTCCCAAAGGCAACTGCCAGCCAGGTTAGAATGTGCCTTCTTTAATCAGAATAAAACAATCACAGGTAACAGAGCATGAGTAATCTGTCTTACAATTCTAGGTGGTCCCAGCATTCCATTACTGCCCTTATCACTATCAGGCGAGGAGAAAAGCCTTTAAATAATTACCCAGGCAATGCCATTATACAGAAAACAGGACTTCACACTCTTTACCTGCATCTACAGGGGCACCTGTTGCTTCTGTTACTAGGAAATAAGAACTAGATTACTTGCCCTCCCCACCCACCCCGGGCTTTTTGGCCTCGGGTTCCAGGTGACTTCCATCCTCTGCTGCAGCCTGCCCGCTCCAGGTCCTTGACAGCATTTGTTTTTGGTGATGCTGTGGCAGCCCTTCTGCAGGCCCAGGGGCGGCTCAGGGCTGCATGGTGTGGTCATTGCTCCTGCAGGCAGAGCAGTGCTGCTGGGCCCGGGGACAGGGATGACTGTGCCTGTGCTTCTCTGTGTGAACGGGATGCTCCCAGGCCTCAATGTGCACCCTGAGGTGCCCTCTCCTCTGCTCCCATGAGCACTTTATGCATTTAAATGCGCATATTGAAATGGCATCCCAGGTGAGCTGAGAAAGACAAACCTAGAGCAATAAACAAACAAGAACTCAGAAGCCAAAACTAGAGCCAAGTGGTGACTGGGTTTGGCTGCACTTTGGATCACATGTGTGTTCCTCTACCTGGAGCAGCTCTGAAGGCTGGGCCCCACCTACAGGGGATGGAGGTGAAAACCAAACAGGCCTTAATTTCTAGAAGCAGGGGTCCTAGGGCTCAGGTGTTCTCCCTGCCCTGGTCTGGGTCCCCTCTCCTGAAATATGTGCTCCTGTTGACAGGTGACGGTGAATGGAGCTGCCTTTTATCAGTATGTACACCGCGTGCCCTTCCACCGCGTGGACAACATCTCTGTCACCGGCGCCGTGGAGCTGACACACATCAGCTTCCAGGTCAGATTATCCAAATGGCACCTGTCCCAGGGGCTGGGTGCAGGGGCCAATCTACTCTGCCTAGGCCCTTAGGGTGGAGCAAAGGCTCCAGCCAATCTCTCACCCAGGTGACTCTGGAGATAGGACATACCTCTGGCTATCCCTGTCCCATCCTTCCTGTGTCACTGTCTCTGTCCAGAGCACCTGCCTCAGCCTGACTCCTTTTCCTCTTGCCTGTCCCGCTCTACTCCCAGCCTGGTTAGGAGGCCATGTGGTCCCAGAAAGAACCAGCTTGGGAATCACACTGAATCTAGCTCAGATCCCAGCTCTGCCATTGTCATCAGCTGTGGGATCTCACTCCCAGCCACAGTTTCCTCATCTGTACAAGGGGCATAGCCACAGCCTCCCCAGGAGGTATGTGTGGGCTCAATGAGGTGATACATGTCAGAGGTCACGTAATGGCCCGCATGGGCCCACACCAGGGTCTATTGGACCCTCTCTGTGTTTTCCAAGTTTTGAATGTGTTGCCAACATCTACAAGGTCAGGGGCAGGTTTGCATTGTGGAGCTGATGCTGGTGATGGCTGCACAACAGTGTGAAGGCACTGAATGAGCCCTCGGCTGTGCACTCTAAAATGGTGAAGGTGGTAAATTTTATGTGTATTTTACCAAAAATTTTCCAGGTGAGGCGATATCACATGGAAACGTGAATGTCTGGCTTTTTGTGAAAACTGGGAAGATGGGGTATGCCTGGCCCACATTCCCACAGGGCCCCAGGCGCCTGGAGTGGAGATGTTATTTCCACTTCGGTATTTGAGTGTGCTCCTGAGATGGGAAAGGCACACAGTAGGCGCACAGCAAATATGAGCTCCTCTCTCTTTGGTCCCATCTCTTACTCTCTCCCTCTCACCTACTCTGTCCCTGCCTGCCTGGCTTTCTCCCTCTTGTCCAGGCCCCTGCCTTTCCACTCTTCCTTGGCTCATTAAAGCTTCTCTTCACTCCATGTTGCCTTTTGTTTTTACAGGACGCCCGTGCAGTCTCTGTCCAGAGGATGCAGTTCTACCCCAGTCTCAGTGGCTCACCTGAGTCCAAAGAGTGGAAACCAAAAGTGAGCAGAACATGGACACCTGGGAGCTGAGCAGTCAGCAGGAAGGACAGGGGTCTGAGAGAGGCTACTTCCAGCCAGCAGGCAGCCAGGGCGTCTAAGCCCCATCATGCCCACCCACGGTTCCCTATCTCCATCCACCAGGCACCCAGGCCTGGGACCTGGGAGGCGTCCTTGGCTCTCCCCTCCCCTCCTTAATGTCCCCCCAGTGCACCAACGCCTCTCCTTCCTGAAGCCACTGCCTTCATCCAGGCAACCTGACCTCTCAGCCCTCTCTCCCCTCACACCCACCCACTGCCACAGTGACCTTCCCATAAGCAAATCTTATCTCATCCTCTTCATGCTTAAATCGCTTAAAGGCCCCAGGCTCAAATAAAGCTCCAACTCCCCAGCTGGATATGCAGAATTCTCCCCAGTCTTGCCCAGCCCACCTCCCAGCCTCCCACCTCACCCACGAAGACCCTCAGTCAACCTCCACTGCTCACTCCAGGCTCCTTCTGGCCACCACACTTTTGCATCTGCTGTCCTGGTGCCCAAAGTATCCTTTGCCACCTCACTCAGCCAGCCCCTAACTGCCCTTCAATGCTCTGCTTCCATGTGGCTCCTCAGGGGCATCTTCCCTGCCTGACAGGTTGCTGGATGCCCCACCCCCTCCCTGACCAGATGCACTTTTAACAGCTCTGTGCACGCCAGGCTCCATGTCCTGTTGTAACTGTACTTACATGTCTGTCTCCGTCACTCCACCCACTATTTCCCCCAAACCATAAGCTTGGAATAGTGACTTGTCCCTTTCTGTATCCCCAGCACTTTGTAGGGAATAGAGCAGGTGCCAAATCATTATTAGCCAAAATCTCATGAAGATGGAGGCTCCAGAGCAAAGTACAGAGACTGTAAGACAGGCTGTGGCCAGGCCTCCGCTAATGAGCCGGCATCACGTGCAGCGTCGCATCCCAGCCATCGCCCACGGGAGATGCCTCCTGTGTGGGGCCCAGCTGAGGCCTGTGCTCCCTCCTCCACCACAGGGTACAGAGGGGCATGTGCGCTGCCCTCGTCCCCATTTCAGAGAAGCAGCATGGCCAAGCTGGCACACCCTTGTGGAGGGTTTAAGTCCAGGCTGCTGTACCCAACAGTCTCCAAGTCTATATAACTCAGGGCTCTATTCCTTATGAAACACACACACACACACACACACACACACACACACACACACACACACACACAGTGTGATTAAAATAATATGTATTTTACAGAAATATATTCATCAAGGAATAACACAAGAAAAGCATAAACGGCACTCATGAGTTGACTTGGCTCTATTAGATGAGCTCAAATGTACAAGCCAATCTCTCCCCCAGGTGACTCTGTGGACATTCCTCTGGCTCCCTCATCCTACCACTCTTGCCTGTCCCTCTCTACTCCCACCTGGTTAGAAGGCCATGTGGTTCCAGAAAGAACCAGCTTGGGAGTCACACTGAGTCTAGCTCAGATCCCAGCTCTGCATTGTCATCAGCTGTGGGATCTCACACAGTGAGCCTGCCTCTCCCAGCCTCAGTTTCCTCATCTGTCAAGGGGCATAGCCACAGCCTCCCCAGGAGGTATGTGTGGGCTCAATGAGGTGATACATGTCAGAGGTCACCTAATGGCCCCCATGGGCCCACACCAGGGTCTATTGGACCCTCTCTGTGTTTTCAAAGTTTTGAATGTGTTGCCAACATCTACAAGGTCAGGAGCAGGTTTGCATTGTGGAGCTGATACTGGTGATGGCCCCACAACAGTGTGAAGGCACTGAATGCCCCTCGGCTGTGCACTCTAAAATGGTGAAGGTGGTAAATTTTAAGTGTATTTTACCAGGTCAGGTAAAATTTTCCAGGTCAGGTGATATCACATGGAAACCTGAATGTCTGGCTTTTTGTGAAAACTGGGAAGATTGGGGTATGCCTGGCCCACATTCCCACAGGGCCCCAGGCACCTGGAGTGGAGATGCTATTTCCACTTTCGGTATTTGAATGTGCTCCTGAGATGGGAAAGGCACACAGCGGGCCCGGAGCAAATATGAGCTCCTCTCCCTTTGGTCCTCATCTCTGTTATTTTCTCCCTCTTGCCTACTCTGTCTGTCCCTGCCTGCCTGGCTTCCTCCCTGTTGTCTGGGCCCCTGCCTTTCCAATCTTCCTTGAATCATTAGAGATACTTTTCACCCCATGGCACCTTTTGTTTTAACAGGATATTGGTGATGTCCCTATGGTGAAATGCTTGCAGAATACCTGTGACCTACCTGAGCCCAAGGAGCAGTAAGCAAAAGTGAGTTAAACAATGGAGAACCTGGGAGGCTGACTAGGCAGCAGGAAGGACAGGGGTCTGAGAGAGAAGCTAGTTCCAGCGAGGAGGTGGCAGGGCCTACAGGCCCTCCTATACCCATCCAAGGTTCCCAATCTCCATCCACCAGGCACCCAGGCCCCGGACCTGGGAGGCGTCCTCCATTCTTCCCTCCCTCCCTAATGTCCCTCCAGGGCACCAAGGCCTCTCCTTCCTGAAGCCACTGCCTTGGACTACGCCACCTGACTGCTCACCCCTCACCCCCTCACACCACCTCACTGCCACAGTGACCTTTCCAAAAGCAAATGTAATGGCATCCACTCCCTCCTTAAAAATGCTAAAGGCCCCGGGCTCAATAAACCCAAACTCCCCAGTTGGAGGAGCAGAATCCTCCCCAGTCTTGCCCAGCCCCCCTCCCAGTTCCCACCTCACCTACTAAGACCCTCCATCAGCCTCCACTGCTCACTCCAGGCTCCTTCCGGCCACCACGCTTTTGCATCTGCTGTCCTGGGGCCAGAGGACCCTTTGCCACCTCACCCAGCCAGCCCCTAACTGCCCTTCAATGCTCTGCTTCAATGTGGCTCCTCAGGGGCATCTTCCCTGCCTGGCAGGTTGCTGGATGCCCCACCCCCTCCCTGACCTGATGCACTTTTAACAGCTCTGTGCACGCCAGACACCATGTCCTGTTGTAACTGTATTTACATGTCTGTCTCCGTCACTCCACCTGTCCTTGCCCGAACACATGAGCTTGGAAGTGTGACTGGTTCCTTTGTGTATCTCCAGCACTTTGCACAGTGCCTGGAGTGCAGTAGGGACTGGGTCAATGAATGAGGGGTGTGGTTTGCACAGTCAGTAGAAGGGGAGACCAGTCAGGGCAAGAAGACCAGTCTGCTGGGTGGGGAGGGGCCTCGGGCAGGAAAAGCAGCAGGGCCTGGCCCTTCCTTGGCCACTTGAGCAGTGGGGGCAAGGGCTAGGGTGTCTCCCTACCCAGCTTCCTGTGGCCCATCACGGTGCATGGTGGGCCCCTGCCACCTGCCACACTGACTTTAGGATGGAGGAGCTCCAGGGAGCCTTTGCAGGGCAGCCTGACTTTGGCCCTGGCCTTGGGAGGACAGGGTATGCTGATACAACCAGACACAATGGGTACCATTTTGTATTTGATCGCTTGCTACCTGGACAGGCTTGGGCAAGGTGCTTAACCTCTCTGAGCCTGTTCTCTCACTGAGCAAAACTGAAGCTAACCCTGGTGCAGACACAGGCAGGATTCCTGCCCTGGGACCTCGGGCTGGAGGTTGTTGCTGTCTGCATCTGCTCTTCACCGCTGCCTTCCCTGTCCCTGCCCCAGCCCCTGCCCTCCCAGCCCTTCCTGGATCTGGGGCTTTTCTGGAGAAACTAAGCCCTTGTCTGCCCTGCTTCTGGCTGCAGCCATCCTGGAGTGGAGAAGGCCACTGGCTGGGCATAGCTTCCTCTGTCTGGGCAGCACCTGGGGCTCCAGCTGCCCAAATCCTACCATCTGAGGATGAGGGGGAGGGGTCAGTGCAGGCTGAAGCCCATGTTCAGTCCCCTCAGCAGAAAGGGAGCATCCCGGGCCTTCCCAACTCCCAGCCCGGGCCCACCCCTCATCTACCTCTTGACCCCATCCCCACCCTCCATTCAAGTCCACCTCAGGCTCCAGCCACCAGCTGGTCACTCCCCTGGGAGGTGGTCTCCTCAGCCCCTCCTCTTTCTCCAACCTTTATCTTTTTTTATTCAGCCTGTACCAACCCATCCCCCACTCCAGGAACGTGACCGTGATTGACACCTGCTGGTCTCTACCTTCTGAGCTTTTCCAGCTGGAAGCCCCCCTTTCCCAGTGCCCTTCAAATAAAGAGAGAAAGAAAACTCGGTGCTGGCACATACGCACAGCGTGATTGTGGTTTATTCAATGTGTTTGGAGACATGCTGGTGTCTGGGATCAGGGCGTCCTGGCCAAGGAGAGAGCATAGGGTCACTTTGATGGGGATGGGGGTGCAGATCCATTTCTGCTCTCAGTGGGTCCCCCAAAATCTCACAAGGTGTGGGAGAGAGCAGCCAGCCTCAGCTTTATGGACAGGATCTCTGACAGGAAACCTGATAACAGAGGTGAACCCAGGAAACAGCCCCAAGCTCCTGAGGTGGGCCAAGGGCTGGGCCAGAGCCTGGAGGGCCAGGACAGGGCCAGGAAGGCTGATGGCAGGGCCGGCTCATCAGAGCCCCGTGTCCCAGTGGGAGGAGGTGGCAGCTGGAGTCAGGAGGAGCTGACTCAGATGAAAGACTTGTGTGTGTGGTTCCACTGTGGGCCACCGGCACCAGGGGTTAGTGTGGTGGGGAAATGGTTCAGTGTGCGGGGCTCTGCCGGCCCCTGGGCCAGTGCTGAGGGACCCAGGTCCGTGCCCACTTCCTGCTAATCTCATGAAGAATCCAGGGCCTCAGGAACCAGGGTGCTGGCTCAAAGTGTAGTCCTGGAAGCAGCAGTATCTACAGCACCTGGGAGCTTGTTACAAATGCAGACTCTGGGGCCAGCCACAGACCTGAATCAGAGTCTACACTGGAAGGAGATCCCAGGAGGTTGCGTGTATAAAAGCATGAGAGTCACTGGTCCAGGTGACCGTGTTCTTGACCACCGTTGTTCTGATGATCTGAGGGACCCTGTAGGTTGGCATGTCCCCTTCACCCGCCCCCATCACCCCATCTGAGTAGGGAGGCCAGGGAGCCAATGAATCAGAGGCCAAACCCAAGCTGGGAGCCAGATTTTGCCAGTCCCCACTTAGCCCTGGCTGAGTGCCTTCCTGGTTCCCCCTGAGAGCAGGAAACATGGTTCAGTCCCTTCAGCAGCCTTCCCCGGGGAACATGCGTGTCCTTCACTCACCGCCATGCCCTTGACCCTTAGCCCCACCTCACGGGCTGTCATCCAGGTGCCCAATCGTTATTAGCCAAACTCTCATGAAGCTGGAGGCCCCAGAGCAAAACACAGAGACTGTAAGACAGCCTGTGCTCCGGCCTCCGCTAAAGAGCTGGCACCCCCCACCCATCGCCCACGGGGGATGCCTCCTGTATGGGGCTCAGGTGAGGCCTGTGCTCCCTCCCTCCATCCCGGGTTGTCAGAGGTGCATGTGTGCTGCCCGCCTATGCATTTCAGGTCAAGCTGGCACATCCCTTCAGCGGGGGAGGGGGTTTGTCCAGGCTGCTGCACCCAACAGTCTCCAAGTCTATATAACTTAGGGATGTTCCCCTTATAAAATACAACACACACACACACACACACACACACACACACACACAACGTGATTAAAATAAAATACATTTTGCCCTAACCGGTTTGGCTCAGTGGATAGAGCGTCAGCCTTTGGACTAAAGGGTCCCGGGTTCGATTCCGGTAAAGGGCATGTACCTTGGTTGTGGGCACATCCCCAGTAGGAGGTGTGCAGGAGGCAGCTGATCAATGTTTCTCTCTCATTGATGTTTCTAACTCTCTATCCCTCTCCTTTCCTCTCTGTAAAAAATCAATAAAATATATTTTAAAATAAAATAAAATGCATTTCATATAATTATCTCCATCAAGAGATCATACATGTAAGGCCTAAACAGCCTCAAGAGCTGACTAGGGTTTGCTTTTTAAAATACAAGGGCATAGGAAGAAACCAAGATGGCGGCATAGGTAAACACCGGAGATTGCTGCCTCACACAACCACTTCAAAAAAAACTAAAAGACATAATGGACATCATCCAGAACCACAGGAAGGCTGGCTGAGTGGAAATTGTACAACTAGAAGGAAAGAGAAAAGCATACTGAGACTCAGAGGACATGCGGTGCGGAAGTAAAATACAAAGGTGGGGAGGTGCATGCGGAGAGGGCTGGTGGCTGAGGACACGATTGTCTTTTTCAACCGGGAGGGAGTCTCAGGCTCTGAGCTCCAGTTCCAGGCGAGTCTCTGGGGACCCAGACTCATAAGGGAGAAATGGGACTGTCTGGCATTGGTTGGAACTCGAGGGCAGCTTTCTCTCAGAGGCA